CTCTTAAAAATTTATTCGTTTCTAACCTTCAAGATGAATACAAGTAGATATTTGAGTATGGATATAGAATATTTATAATAGTAAAGAGAAAAAGAAAAATCAATTCATTCGATTAAATTTCAAAGTTTAATCTATATAAAAATGAAACTATTAGTGATTGTCTTTTTTTTGTTTTATTCTCAATTGTATTTAAAATCATAATGGACAGTTTATGATCACGTTTAAATGGCAATAGTAGTTTAGTACATTTATTCTCTTTGTTAGTAATCCTTCTTTTTTCTTTTTTTCTTTTAGTCATTGTCTCATTCGACTATTCTCTAATTATTTTTATTAGTCACATGCGCACAGTTGCAGATCATTTACTACTGCTGTTGCCGCCGCCCCATAAATCATATCGTCACTCAAAAGAGAGAGATTGGTCAACTACCGCCTGTTCGTCATTTTCTTCTTTTTCTTTTGTTGTTGTTATAGAAGGTAATACAGCAATCAGGCTAATGATTTTGTTTGTAAGTAGTATATATATAAACAGTCACCTTCTTCTGTCTAATTATTTCTTCTCTTCAATTGATTGAATTCTAAACAGTAACAACATATGGTTCTACTGCCCATGGTCAAATTTTGTATAACCTCATTAACAAGATCCTTGCTATTACAACATTAGACATTTTTTTGTTACTATTGTTAGATGGTCATTCTGTCAATGTACGTCATATATATATATATATACATACATGCATGCATACTTTCTCTTACTATTCATTTATTTGAAAGTTCCGAATTGATGAACATCAACTCTGCGTGTATAAGTCCTCTTTCTTATTCTCTTCAACAAATGCACGTGTGTGTGTTTGTGTGTATTCAATGTAACTAATTAGGTCGTGCGCCGACAAGTGATTGAAAGTACGTATAATTATTTGGACAGAAGAAAAAAAAAAAGAAATCTTCCGCACTAATACTATTTGTAGTAAGGTACCGACTTTTTCTTTTTCTTTATAATCATAGCATTAAAAAAACGAAAAGAACTACTTAAATTGTTCATTAAACTATGATTTAGTGTTTGGCAAGTGTCATTTACATATATCACGTCGCGAATTATGTACGTGTCGAATCGAAAAATGTTAATTGCAAATAAGATGGACAAACGATGACATCGGATAGATGTCCGTGACTGTGATTCACGCATTTTGTTGTCAGTCGTCTCTATCTTTCTCTTCTCACATGATTGTGCAATGTCTCTCTCCTTTTTTTTTTTTGTTGACAAACGCGTCGAGTTCGATGAGACGAGTGTGCGAGACAAACATCATCAATGCATCGTCCATTCACATTAGTCTTTTCAACATTGTTGTCTGCAATAGAATGAGTAATAGGCATCAGCAACCAGATGTTAGTCGGCATTCCATCTGTCTTCATTGTCGGAGCAATACATATCGTAGTGGCATCAGTCGCTGTATATATTAACAATTAATAATAATTTTTCTTCTTCCTTTCACTCATACAATGGACATCGGTCATTCATCTTTACTTCTTATGTCATAATCAATTTTACAATACTGTGAGATGAGAAACAAATTTATAAGTCAGCATATTAAACATCCGCTTCTATTATCATTATTTTTTTTATTAAATAAAATCATTTGTGTACATATTAACTTTAGATCAATGTTTAATATTATTTCCTAATATAGATTTAATATAATGATTCAATATCTCGGCTTGTTTTTTCTTCTTCGTAAGTATTTAAAAAAAAAAAGAAAAGTTTTGCATTTAAAAATTAACATATATATGTATATATTAGAATTATGTCAATGTAAAAATCATCCTCCAATTCTTATTGAACAACCACAAGATATGATCGCCGAATTAGATAAACCAATGGCTATACATTGTCGAACAGAATCATCATCGTTAGATGATCTTCATATTGATTGGTATAAAGATGGTCGATTAGTAACAACTGATCCAAATGCACGTATAATTACAGAATTTATGGCATTACATATTATTAATACAATGCCACAAGATGCAGGTATATATTATTGTATAGCAAAAAATTCTTATGGACAAATACAAAGTCGAAAAGCACGAATACAATTTTTAAGTATATTAAATTTAAAAAAAAAAAGAAAAAAAACTTTCATGTATAATAATTTTTCTTTTGTTTAGAACTTGATAAAGAATTTCTTATTTCACCAATATCAACAAGTGCTTCAATTGGTGAACGTATACGTTTACGTTGTCAACCACCAAATGGTTCACCAATTCCAATAGTTTATTGGACAAAAGATGGAAAAAATCTTTCACTTCCACTTGATAATTATGATCTTATATTATCATCAATAGAAAAATCAGATTTTGGTTCATATCGTTGTATAGCATCAAATGGTCTTATACGTCAATCATCTATTGCTTATTTAACTGAATTTCATCGACCAAATATAACTATACAACCATCATTATCACGTATTGATTTACATCGTGGACAATCAATTGATTTACAATGTCATATTGATAATGAACAATATAATATTGAATGGTATTTTAATAATAATAATCAGATTATTCAAAATAATCATATACATATATCCTCAATTGAATTTAATCAAAGTGGAATTTA